TTTTTTTTTACAATTTCTCCTTCAGGCCATCGGCGAGTTCATCCTGGTGGATCGAGACGTAAAAATCAAGAAGAAAGGGAAAATCTACAGCTTGAATGAAGGCTATGCGCAGCATTTTTACCCTGATGTGACAGAATACATTCAGAAGAAGAAGTACCCTGAGGTAAATTGATTCCTCATCATGAAGAGTAAACATGCCGATGATCTCGTCACCTTCTAAAGTCACTTGTTTCTTGAGCCCAAAAGGGCATCGGCGTGACGCTACTGACCTCTGAGCTGTGTTTCCAGGACGGTTCTGCTCCATACGGCAGCCGCTATATCGGCTCCATGGTCGCCGATGTCCATCGCACGCTGGTCTACGGCGGCATCTTTTTGTATCCCGCCAACACGAAGAGTCCAAAGGGGAAGGTGAGCATTTGACTGCGTAACAACACTGCCGGATGTCACGTTGTCGTCCTAAGACACAGTCGATGTCACCGTTTCAGCTCATTGCTAACATGCAATATAAAACAACACAGAGAGGCTAATGGAAATTAGCATCACATTTATGGGAATCTTTCAAACAACTTCTCCTTTAACCAGTGGAGCAGCAACACATGCAAAGAGAGCGTACAATACTGACAGGAATAAATTCTCTCTGCTGTATGGGAACAACAACTATTACTGCAGATTGCAAGCAATGAAAAGCGGTACAGCGGGGGAAGCCCGTAATAGTGTCACACCACTGCCAACCTATCCTTTCGTATTTGCTGAAAAAGCCCACCTGCTAACCGTCTCTGTGCTCAAGCCAAATAATAAGCCGAATAAAGAATCATCCCGTCGCATCTTGGAACTCTGTTGAAGTGAGATGAGGAACTTCAAGTCATGCTTTGCCGCCTTCTTGTCGATGATGACGCTCCAACCTCCGGCGTTGTAACCGTCCCCTGCCGTGCTGTGGTCCGTCAGTTGCGACTGCTGTACGAGTGCAACCCCATGGCGTTCATCATGGAGCAGGCGGGCGGCATGGCCACCACGGGGGCCGGCAACGTTCTGGACATCCAGCCCACCAACATCCACCAGAGGGTCCCCGTGGTGCTGGGCTCGCCCGACGACGTGCAGGAGTACATTGCCATCTATAAGAAGCATCACAAATGAGGTGAGGTGG